GGCTTTGTCTATCTCTTTCAATCTGTCTTTGTCTATCTCTGTCTCACAGGTACACATAACTGCAAGTATACGTAGTATAAATTACCTAGGATAACCCAAAAATCCAGACGAAGTGCTATACTCTGCTTGAAGATGTGAGTAAAGGCGATGACACAGTCTTGTGGCTCTCTATGAGACAGAGAGCTAGACGGATAGACAGAAATGTTTGTGTACCAGCAAAAACAAAGGGAGGGCGATGGTCATCTAATCTTTTCTCATCAGCTGCACCCTCCCCCACCCTTGTTTATGCTCATCAAATGTCAGCTGTTATCAGATGTTATCTCCCCTTATCTTGTCACTGTCAGGGGTGGACTTTGTTTTTCATGCTTCAAAGGAACATATTATTACATATTATTATTATTAACTATTATTTATTATTATTATTATTATTATTATTATTATTATTATTATTCTCCTCCTCCTCCTCCTCCTCCTCCTCCCTCCTCTCTCCTCCTCCTCCTCCTCCTCCTCCTCCCCTCTCCTCCCCTCCTCTCCTCCTCTCTCCTTCTCTCCTCCCCTCCTCTCCTCCTTCTCCTCCTCCTCCTCCTCCTCCTCCTCCTCCTTCTCCTCCTCTCTCCTCCTCTCCTCCTTCTCCTCCTCCTCTCCTCCTCTCCTCCCTCCTTCTCCTCCTCCCCTTCTCCCCTCCTCCTTCCTCCTCCCTCCTCTTCTCCTCCTCCTTCTCCTCCTCCTCCTCTCTCCTCCTCCTCTCCTCTCCTCCTCCTCCTTCTCCTCCTCCCCCTCCTTCTCCTCCTCCCCCTTCTCCTCCTCCTCCTCCTTCCCCCTTCTCCTCCTCCTCCTCCTTCTCTCCTCCTCCCTCCTTCTCCTCCTCCTCCTCCTCCTCCTCCTCTCTCCTCCTCCTCCTCCTCCTTCCTCCTCCTCCTCCTCCCTTCCCTCCTCCTCCCCTTCTCCTTCCTCCTCCTCCTCTCCTCCTCCTCCTCTCTCCTCCTCCTCCTCCTCCTCCTTCTCCTCCTCCTCCTCCTCCCTCCTCCTCCTTCTCCTCCTCCTCCTCCTTCTCCTCCTCCTCCTTCTCCTCCTCCTCCTTCTCTCCTCCTTCTCCTCCTCTCCTCCTCCTCCTCCTCCTCTCCTCTCCTCCTCCTCCTCCTCCTCCTTCTCCTCCTCCTCCTCCTTCTCCTCCTCCTCCTCCTCCTCCTCCTCCTCCTTCTTCTCCTCCTCCTCCTCCTTCTCCTCTCCTCTCCTCCTCCTTCTCCTCCTCCTCCTTCTCCCTCCTCCTCCTCCTCCTCCTTCTCCTCCTCCTTTTCCTCCTCCTCCTTTTCCTCCTTCTCCTCCTTCTCCTCCTCCTCCTTCTCCTCCTTCTCCTCCTCCTCCTTCTCCTCCTCCTCTTCCTCCTCCTCCTCTCTCCTTCTCCTTCTCCTCCTCCTTCTCCTTCTCCTTCTCCTCCTCCTTCTCCTTCTCCTCCTCCTTCTCCTTCTCCTTCTCCTCCTTCTCTTCTCCTTCTCCTCCTCCTCCTTCTCTTCTCCTTCTCCTCCTCCTCCTCTTCCTCCTCCTCCTCCTCTTCCTCCTCCTCCTCCTCCTCCTCCTTCTTCTCTTCCTCATTATTATTATATACTTCCACATATCCAAAACATTGCTGGGACCTATAAATACTTTGTTTATATTCCAAGACAATAATAAATGTCCACCTGTCAGTGTTTGTGACAATGTCCAGCTGTCAGTGTTTGTGACAATGTCCAGCTGTCAGTGTTTGTGACAATGTCCAGCTGTCAGTGTTTGTGACAATGTCCAGCTGTCAGTGTGTTTGTGACAATGTCCAGCTGTCAGTGTGTTTGTGACAACTTGAGTACAATTTCAGTACCTAATACTAGTGTCAGAACAAAGATTGGTTATAAAATGACAAGAACTACTACAAATTGTAATTATCTGAACATAAAAATCCCATTAAATAATATGAAAAATAAAAAAAAAGGTATATCGGCAACACGTCTGCAAGTGGCAGGACTCGATGTTGCTGTCACATGAGCATCCAGTGCCAACTTCTCGGCCTCATATCTCGGTAAGTACTGATCCAAAAATAATTTTTTTATGCTAAAACACTTAAAAAAATGTGCTCTTTTTTCTATAAAAAACTGTTTTTTTTTTTTTTTTTTCAAAATATTCAGGGCGCTGCGCAGGTGGATGTATATATACGTTTGGACCGTTTAAGGGTTAAGTGATCTTTCCAGAATTCTCTTAGGGTCAATTCAGTGTCTGAGGTTACTTCAAAGCACTTTTGAAACACTGCTTTGGCGTACAGTTTTTTGAAGTTTGAAATGACCTGCTGGTCCATGGGCTGGAGGAGAGGAGTGGTATTAGGGGGCAAGAACTTCACTTTGATGAAACGAAACTCCTGCACCATTTGCTCTTCCAAGTCTGGAGGATGAGAAGGAGCATTGTCCATTGCCAGGAGGCACTTAAGTTCCAATTTATTTTCCAGGAGGTATTTCTTCACACTGGGGCCAAATGCTTCATTGAACCAATCAAGGAAAATGTCCACTGTGACCCATGCCTTACTGTTTGCCTTCCACATCACACACAATTTACTCTTGGCGACACTGTTTTTCTTGAACACTCTGTAATTTTCAGAGTGATACACTAGTAAAGGCTTCACTTTGAAATCCCCACTAGCATTACCACAGAACATGACAGTTAGCCTGTCTTTTATAGGCTTGTGTCCTGTGAGTGCCTTTTCCTCCTGAGTAATGTAGGTCCTCTTTGGCATTTTCTTCCAAAAGAGGCCTGTTTCATCACAACTGAACACTTATTGGGGTTTGAATTGTTCAGTCTCTATGTACCCCTCAATTCCTGAATATATTTTTCAGCCATATTTTTGTCAGAACTGGCAGCCTCACCATACCTTATCACAATGTGTATACCACTATGCTTCATAAATCTCTCAAAGCAGTATTTGCTGGCCTTAAATTCACCAATGTCAAAACTAGTTCCAGGCATTTTCTTCACGAAATCCTCATGCAACTGCCTTGCTTTTTCACAAATTATAAACTGCATAACACTATCTCCTGATAATTGTTTCTCGTTGATCCACACCAACAACGAAGTCTATACATGGGGATAAATGGTATAAAATACCGACACAATGGAAATATAAACACTTAAGCAGACTTGATAAAGCCCACTGCATGGGTGAAACGTTGTCAATAAAAGATCACATTATACTGCTTAAGTGTTTATATTTCCAAAGTCTCCACATCTTCTAGTATGCATTTGCGATCTCTGCTTTGTAAGCATATTTGCTCCTTTCGCAACAGCAGCTTCCTTGATTTCCTTTCTCTTGGCCATAATAGAAGTGATGGTTGTATGGGGTTTGTTATACAACCTGGCCAGCTCTCCAACATGTACTCCACTTTCATATTTTGCAATGATGTCTTTCTTGAATAGTATAGCACAGACAAGTTCGGGACGAATGACTATTACCAAGTTCAATGATGATCACCGAGCCAATATTTTGACAAAAAAACATTACTTATTCCGAATATTACGAAATCCGATGACGACGTAGTCCGAGGGCCCACTGTATGTCACATATTTACCTCAAATTTCTTATTATGGGTGTATGTACTATGATTATATGTTATGTAACGTGTTTCTCATATAATTTTGAAGAAAATATCATAGACTAATGAAAAATGTCTATATTAACAATATTTAATGGACCACAGAGTGATTATTATTAGTAGTATTCTTATTATTAATATGGTGTCTTCAAGACTAGTGAGACACTCTTAGTGATTTTAATGTGTACTAGCATGCTGTATAAGTTTATTTAGGTACAAGTGCACGTAAGTATAATTATCAGAGTGCATATGTAAATATAAAATACACAATAACTTTAAAACACTTGAAATTTTGGAGTTTCCAGACATAATCGAGAGACACGGAGCTCACAGAGGATGCAAACAAAAAGTGGCAGGCAGAGACCATATTAGCGAGTCAGGTGGAGGGGGAAGGGAGCTGTATGAATTTTGGTCATAATTTGAAATGTCTGTATTAACGAAACACTGCAAAGCAGGGCCCTCCTGTACTGCTAATTTACATTTGTGTAAATGATCATTTAGACATCTGAAAGACTAACTTAATTTTCTCTCAAAGTAATTTTATGCACATCATTATCATATATTATATTGTCTTCTGATCACACTGTCCATTGGCAAGATTTTCCTCCCATGTGGCTTCATGCAAGTTTTAACCCTTTGGGGGTCGACAGGTCCTCTCAGAGACTTGTTCTCAGGATCGGCCAAATTTAAAAAAAAAAAATTGTTTTTTCTTATGAAAAGATAGAGAATCTTTTCCCGATCATAATGACACCAAAAGTATGAAATTTGATGGAAAACATACGGAATTATGCTCTCGCGAAGTTAGCAGTCTCAACGATGTTTGCGCATCGGCGATTTTGCCCACTTTGAGCCCTATTTTCGGCCAATTTCAGTGTACTAGTTGACAAAAATCGTAACTATTTCGCTAGAACTCCATTCTTTCTATCAAATGAGTACAAGAAACCACCCATTTACCGATTTCAACTATCCAATAAAGTGGTCAGAATTTAGCAATTTTGCCAATTTCACACAAATTTCAAAAGATGCCAATTTCCAAATATGTCTTCCATTCTATAAAATGAGACCAAGAAAACTAGAATACACCAATAAATACCATATGAAAATACAGTGCAAAGTCGCTGTTTTAATCCAAAAACACGATCAAAGTTTTTTTTTCTCATTACGCACTGTGTGCTGCAGGATTTTTTTTATACTGCGCAGCACACTTACCACATAGACCCATTTTTACATATGTAGGCCTACCAGCTTTCTCTCACTAGATTTGAGGGCGCTAGAATTTAGGCGTACTAGTACATCAAAAACCCTGGGTCGTAAGACGTACTAGTACGTCCAAAACCCTCAAAGGGTTAATCAACTTGATCTTAGTGAGAAAACTTTTAGAAATAGAACACAAATGATTTCTAGCTAGAATGAAGTCGCAGGTGCCTTACTAAATTAAATTTACATGAAAACTCCATTAGACATTCTGAACACCTAAATGGTTTCTCCTTGGTATGAACTTTCACATGTCGTACTAAAAGACATTTTTTGGAAAACTCTTTTAGACACTCTGAACACTGATATGGTTTCTCTCCAGTATGAATTCTCATGTGTTGTACTAAACTAGTTTTCTGTGAAAACTCTTTCAGACACTCTGAACATTGATACGGTTTCTCTCCAGTATGGATCCTCATGTGATGTACTAAGTAAGATTTAGTGGTAAACTTTTTTAGACATTCTGAACACTGAAATGGTTTTTCTCCAGTATGAATTCTCATGTGTTGTACTAAACTAGTTTTTTGTGAAAATTCTTTTAGACACTCTGAACACCGATATAGTTTCTCTCCAGTATGACTTCTCATGTGATGTACTAAACTAGATTGATCTGAAAACTCTTTTAGACATTCTGAACACTGATATGGCTTCTCTCCAAAATGAGTTCTCATGTGTTTTACTGAACTAGAGTGATCTGAAAACTCTCTTAGACATTCTGAACACTGATATGGTTTCTCTCCAGTATGAATTCTCATGTGTTGTACTAAATTAGATTTAGTTGCAAAATCTTTTAGACATTCTGAGCATTGATATGGCTTCTCTCCAGTATGAATTCTTATGTGTTGTATTAAATTAGAGTTTTTTGAAAATGATTTTAGACATTCTGAACATTGATAGGGCTTTTCACCGGTATGACTTCTCATGTGATGTACTAAATAAGATTTGCTGGCAAATTCTTTTAAACACACTGAACAGTGATACAGTCCCCCTCCAGTATGAAATTTCATATGTCTTACTAAACTAGATTTAGCTGAAAACTCTTTTAGACATTCCGAACATTGATGTAGTTTCTCTCCAGCATGAATTCTCATGTGTTGTACCAAACTAAACTTTTGTGAAAACTCCTTTAGACATTCGAAACACTGATATGGTTTCTTTCCAGTATGAATCCTCATGTGTTGTACTAAATAAGATTTATCTAAAAACTCTTTTAGACACACACAACACTGACATTGTTTTTCTCTGGTATGAATTCTCATATGTCTCATTAAATGTGTATTTTTAGAAAACTTTTTCAAACACGTTAAACACTGAACTGTTTTATCGCCTCTGTTAACTGCAGTCAGTGATACACACCGAGATGTTTGTGAGGAATGTGAATACTGATATAGTTTGTCTTCTGCATCAACTGTTATGTGTGTTGCTTGATCACATTCTTTTTCAAGTATTTTAGACATAGTGAACAATAACTTAACACTTTCACTATCAAGACACCAAATTAAAGTGCTAACAGTGTCAGGGTTTGTCCTTAAAATTTTTTTCAGAAATGGTAGAGAAACTTTTTCTTAAGGTAATGACACCAAGAACACAAAATATAACTCAAACTTAAAAAGAATTACGAATTGCACTCTGAGTGCAATTCACACATTAAGAATTTCAGTCACTGAGTCCTATTTTATGCCAATTCCATTAATCATTCTGAACAAATTCTTAGCTTTCTGCACTAGCTAAAGTGCACAAAATTTAGCAATTTGATTAATTTTACACAAAATTCAACAAATTCTTTTCATAAACAAAAAATAAACACAGTATGCATTGCAGCAACTAAAGCAACCTATCTTCTGTTCAATAATCATATATTCAGCCCTCTAGTATCTTCTGTTCATTAAACATGCACTCAGCCCTCTAGTATCTGCTGTTCATTAATCATGTACTCAGCCTTCTAGCATCTTCTGTTCATTAATCATGTACTCAGCCCTCTAGTATCTTCTATTCATTATTCATGTACTCAGCCCTCTAGTATCTTCTATTCATTATTCATGTACTCAGCCCTCTAGAATATTATTCCTCACCTCTGTTTTGAATTCATCATCACACAAAATCTAAGTTTTACCCTATTTCACAGATAAAAAAAAAATAACCAAGAATGATAATCATGGTTTAGTGCATACCAATAATTGAAGCAGAGCCAATAAAGTACACAAAACAAATGAGATACTGTACTCCCGGCCCTGAAATTTACCAAATTATTCAATTCATTAGACTGATATCCACTTTATCAACTGATACCAAGAAATAATCATAAAGCCATAAAAAGAAAATACACCTACCATCCGACTTACGACCTGCTCGACTTACGACCACTCGACTTACGACCGTGTTTTTTATGCCAAATTTCTGGGAAATAAACAACTATTTGTGTTGTACACAGTGTTTATCTTAAGCCTTACAGTATAAAATACAGTACTAACAACATAAAAAGTAAAGTAAAACATGAAATACCAAAATAAAACAATAAAATAAAGTCATTACAAAAATGTTTTGTTGATATTCGTTAGTAAAGTTCAACTTACGACCATTTCGACTTACGACCGGTTTCTCGGAACCGAACTCGGTCGTAAGTCGGATGGTAGGTGTATCCTTAAAAACACCTCAAAGTTGCTATTTTAAACCAAACACAAGGTCAGAAGTTGGCTTTTCTCATCGTGCACTTCAATAGGGTAAGATTGTTTTTATGCTGTGCCACTCACTGCATAGACCCACTCACATGTGCACACCAAAATTTACTACTCACAGCATATTTGAGGGTACTGTGCTCAAAACGTGTATCTACATGTACAACACTGTGCTCAAAACGTATATCTACATGTACAACACTGTGCTCAAAACGAACATCTACATGTACAACACTGTGCTCAAAACGTACATCTACACGAGTGACACTGTGCTTAAAACGTACATCTACACGAGTGACACTGTGCTTAAAACGTACATCTACACGAGTGACACTGTGCTCAAAACGTACATCTACACGAGTGACACTGTGCTTAAAACGTACATCTACATGAGTGACACTGTGCTTAAAACGTACATCTACACGAGTGACACTGTGCTTAAAACGTACATCTACACAAGTGACACTGTGCTTAAAACGTACATCTACATGAGTGACACTGTGCTCAATAATATATATCTGTGTAGAGAGTAAAGGGTCAATAATCTTATAAAGTGCTTAACCAGATGATATTTTTGTGATCCATTACACAGAAAACACTGTCTCTAATATTCTATTATTATAATAAACATGGACAAGCACTAAACCAGTAAGGTTTAAACAGTGATTGAGGACATGGATGGATATTTACAATATTGGGAGGATATTTCAAATTCCTAGGATCAAACAAGCAGTTGACCAACAGTAAAGCACCTACATGAAGGGTTCTCTAATACTGTTCAGAAATTTAAATGTTCCTTGGTAAAGTTCTCACAGAAGTTTTGTAACAAACATTACACAGAATTATTACACAGCAGCTTTGTGAAATTGATGTTGATGCTGTAAATGTTATATCTATAACACTGTAGCAACAGTGTTCTCACTACTTGAACACTTACTTGAACATTATGATACTGAAAAGTGACACTTACTTGAACATTATGATACTGAAAAGTGACACTTACTTGAACATTATGATACTGAAAAGTGACACTTACTTGAACATTATGATACTGAAAAGTGACACTTACTTGAACATAATGATACTGAAAAGTGACACTTACTTGAACATAATGATACTCAAGAGTGACACTTACTTGAACCTTATAATACTGAAGTGACACTTACTTCATACCTATGATACTGAAAAGTGACACTTACTTGAACCTTATGATACAGAAAAGTGATACTGTGTCACCTCCAGTATTGGTGCTACAAGTACCAACCTCTGCTGCCACGATGACTTCCACTGTAGATACTACATGTGCCAACCTCTGCTACCAGGATGACCTGTAGTGTTGGTATTACAAGTACCAGTCTCTGCTACCAGGATGACCTGTAGTGTTGGTATTACAAGTACCAGTCTCTGCTACCAGGATGACCTGCAGTGTTGGTATTACAAGTACCAGACTCTGTTACCAGGATGACCTGCAGTGTTGGTATTACAAGTACCAGTCTCTGCTACCAGGATGACCTGCAGTGTTGGTATTACAAGTACCAGACTCTGTTACCAGGATGACCTGCAGTGTTGGTATTACAAGTACCAGTCTCTGCTACCAGGATGACCTGCAGTGTTGGTATTACAAGTACCAGTCTCTGCTACCAGGATGACCTGTAGTGTTGGTATTACAAGTACCAGACTCTGTTACCAGGATGACCTGCAGTGTTGGTATTACAAGTACCAGACTCTGCTACCAGGATGACCTGCAGTGTTGGTATTACAAGTACCAGACTCTGTTACCAGGATGACCTGCAGTGTTGGTATTACAAGTACCAGACTCTGTTACCAGGATGACCTGCAGTGTTGGTATTACAAGTACCAGACTCTGTTACCATGATGACCTGTAGTGTTGGTATTACAAGTACCAGACTCTGTTACCAGGATGACCTGCAGTGTTGGTATTACAAGTACCAGACTCTGTTACCAGGATGACCTGTAGTGTTGGTATTACAAGTACCAGACTCTGTTACCAGGATGACCTGCAGTGTTGGTATTACAAGTGCCAGTCTCTGCTACCAGGATGACCTGTAGTGTTGGTATTACAAGTACCAGACTCTGCTACCAGGATGACCTGCAGTGTTAGTATTACAAGTACCAGTCTCTGCTACCAGGATGACCTGTAGTGTTGGTACTACAAGTACCAGTCTCTGCTACCAGGATGACCTGCAGTGTTGGTATTACAAGTACCAGTCTCTGCTACCAGGATGACCTTCAGTGTTGGTACTACAAGTACCAGTCTCTGCTACCAGGATGACCTGCACACGAAAAAAAACAAATTCAAATAGTTATCAAATGTAATACTTGTGGTAGTATTATTATTAATGAAATATTTATGGTATTATTACAGTCAAACTTGTGGTAAAGGTCAGTCATCAGTAATGTGGCAATCAGTTATCCAGTTCCATCAGTAATCAGGGTGAGTTTCTGTGAGACTGGGAGTGTTGCTGTGAGCCAGGGTATGTTGCTGTGAACCAAGGTATGTTGATGTGAGCCAAAGTATGACACTGAGAGCCAAGCTATGTTGCTGTGAGCCAGGGTATGTTGCCATGAGCTGGGGTATGTTGCTGTGAGCAAGAGTATGTTGATGTGAATCACATTATGTTGCTGGGAGCCAGGGTATGTTGCTGTAAGCCGAGGTATGTTGCTGTGAGTCAGGTTATATTACTGTGAGAGAGGGTAAGTTGCTGTGAACCAAGGTATGTTGCTGTGAACCAAAGTATGTTGCTGTTAGTCCTGGTTTGTTGCTGTGAGCCAGGGTATTTTGCTGTGAGACAGGGTATGTTGCTGTGAGCCAGGGCATTTTGCTGTGAGACAGGGTATGTTACTGTGAGCCAGTGTATGTTCCTTTGAGCCAAGGAATGTTCGTGTGAGCCAGTATACATTGATGTGAGCCAGAATGTGTTGCTCTAAGCCAGGGTATCTTACTTTGAAAGAGGGTATGTTGTTGTGAATACAGGTATGTTGGTTTAAGCAAAGGGAATTTTCCTTTGAGCCATGGAATGTTGGTGTGAGCCATGTTATGTTGCTGTGAACCAAAATATGTTACTGTGAGAAAGAATATGTTGCTGTTAGCCCACATGTTTTGCTGACAGCCTGGGTATGTTCTTGTGAGCCTGCATATGTTGTTGTAAGCCAGGGAATGTTACCGACAACCAAGGTATAATGCTGTGAGCCAGGGTGCACTTACCTAGTTGTACTTACCTAGTCGTGGTTGCAGGGGTTGAGTCATAGCTCCTGGCCCCACCTCTTCACTGGTCACTACTAGGTCACTCTCCCTGAACCATGAGCTTTATCATACCTCTGCTTAAAGCTATGTATGGATCCTGCCTCCACTACATCGCTTCCCAAACTATTCCACTTCCTGAGTACTCTGTGACTGAAGAAATACTTCCTAACATCCCTGTGATCCATCTGTGTCTTCAACTTCCAACTGTGTCCCCTTGTTGCTGTGTCCCATCTCTGGAACATCCTGTCTTTGTCCACCTTGTCAATTCCTCTCAGTATTTTATATGCCGTTATCATGTCCCCCCTATTTCTCCTGTCCTCCAGTGTCGTCAGGTCGATTTCCCTTAACCTCTCCTCATAGGACATACCCCTTAGCTCTGGGACTAGTCTTGTTGCAAACCTTTGCACTTTCTCTAGTTTCTTTATGTGCTTGGCTAGGTGTGGGTTCCAAACTGGTGCCACATACTCCAATATGGGCCTGACGTACACAGTGTACAGGGTCCTGAACAATTCCTTATTAAGATGTCAGAATGCTGTTTTTAGGTTTGCTAGGCGCCCATATGCAGCGGTAGTTAGTTGGTTGATGTACGCCTCAGGAGATGTGCCTGTGTTGGCTGCTGTTGATGAGATCATTCCTTTCTAGGTGTTCCACCACTCTTCTCCTGATAATCTTCTCCATAACTTTGCATACTATACATGTCAGCGACACTGGTCTGTAGTTTAGTGCTTCATGTCTGTCTCCTTTTTAAAAGATTGGGACTACATCTGCTGTCTTCCATGCCTCAGGCAATCTCCCTGTTTCGATAGATGTATTGAATATTGTTGTTAGGGGTAGACATAGCGCCTCTCTCCCCTCTCTCGGGACCCATAGAGAGATGTTATCCAGCTCCATTGCTTTTGAGGTATCTAGCTCACTCAGAAGCCTCTTCACTTCTTCCTTGGTTGTATGTACTGTGTCCAGCACTTGGCGGTGTACCCCACCTCTTCGTCTTTCTGAAGCCCCTTCTGTCCCCTCTGTGAACACTTCTTTGAATCTCTTGTTGAGTTCCTCACATACTTCATGGTCATTTCTTGTTGTCTCTCCTCCTTCCTTCCTTAGCTTGCTTACCTGGTCCTTGACTGTCGTTTTTCTCCTGATGTGGCTGTATAACAGCTTCGGGTCAGATTTGGCTTTTGCTGCTATGTTGTTTTCATATTGTTGTTGGGCCTCCCTTCTTATCTGTGCATATTCATTTATGGCTCTATGAATGCTCTCCTTATTCTCCTGGGTCCTTTGCCTTCTATATTTCTTCCATTCCCTAGCACACTTGGTTTTTGCCTCACTGCACCTTTGGGTGAACCATGGGCTCATCCTGGCTTTTTCGTTATTCCTGTTACCCTTGGGTACAAACCTCTCCTCAGCCTCCTTGCACACTGTTGTTACATATTCCACTATCTCATTAACTAGCTTCCCTGCCAGTTCTCTGTCCCACTGAACCCCATTCAGGAAGTTCCTCATTCCCGTGTAGTCCCCTTTCTTGTAGTTTGGCTTCATTCGCCCTGACCTTCCTGCTTCCCCCTCCAGTTGTAGCTCTACTGTGTATTCGAAGCTTAAAACCACATGATCGCTGGCCCCAAGGGGTCTTTCATATGTGATGTCCTCAATATCTGCACTACTCAAGGTGAATACTAGGTCCAGTCTTGCTGGTTCATCCTCTCCTCTCTCTCTTGTAGTGTCCCTTACATGTTGGTACATGAAGTTTTCCAGTACCACCTCCATCATCTTAGCCCTCCATGTATCTTGGCCCCCATGTGGCTCCAAGTTCTCCCAATCGATTTCCTTGTGGTTAAAGTCACCTATGATCAGGAGCTTTGCCCTGCATGCATGAGCTCTTCTGGCCACTGAAGCCACTGTGTCAACCATCAATCTACTGCTGTCATCATACTCTTGCCTTGGCCTCCTTCTGATCTGTGGTGGGTTATACATCACTGCAATTACCACTTTGGGACCTCCAGAGTGAAGCGTTCCCGCTATGTAATTGCTTGCTTCTCCGCTGTCTCCTCTCTCCAGCTCATCAAAGTTCCATCGGTTTTTGATCAGCAGTGCCACTCCTCTGTCCCCCCTGTTCCCTCTGTCTTTCCTCAGCATCTGGTATTCCATTGGTTTCTGTGAGACCTATGATGTCCGGAGATGCCTCTGATTCTTTCGTGCCACTCCTCCCACTTATTTGTTATTCCATCAACGTTTGTGTACCATACCTTCAGTTTCCTCTCCAACACTCTGGTTTGGGGGGGCCTGTGAGGGTGGGAGACCTGGTAGCATACTGTGGAATTCTATAGCTGAGTGTTGGGTGGAAGCTGTGAGTATGAATTGTAGTTTGTGTTGGGATGGTGTGATAGGTCGTGGGGTTCTGAGGATGGTTGTGTGTGTGCTTGCCCTTGCTGCTCTGTCCTGCTCTGATTGACCTCTGCTGGTTCCGTCCTTGTCTCCTTTCCTAGCTCCTTTCGCTTTTTTGTCCTCTCCCTCAGCTGCTGTCGTTCTGTTTGTGTTCTGTCTCTGGCTAGGAACACCCTCATGTACTCTTCCGAGTACTTCAACCGTGGTTTCTCTTGGAGGATCCTGTTCTGCACTGTTTCTGTCCTGAGAATCAGCTTGATTGGTCGTTTTCTCTCCTTCAAGTACCCCACTGTGAGCATAAGCCGTCCATAATGGTGGTGAGGCGGCAGCTAAGGCGGCGGCGTTTTCTGTAGCCCTATGTAACTCCAACAACATTGGAGGAGGTGGTAGAATCGCAGAATCACTGAAGAAGGCATCCTCTACCACCATCACAACCACTACCACCATCACAACCACTACCACCATCACAACCACTACCACCCTCTACCACCATCACTACCACTTTCTACCACTATCACAACTGCTACCACCATAACTACCACCTTCTACCACCATCACTAAAACTGTCTACCACTATCAAAACTAGCACCCTCTACCACCATCACTACCACCCTCTACCACCATCACTACCACCTTCTACCACCATCACTACCACAGTCTACCACTATCACAACTGCTAGCACCCTCTACCACTATCACAATTGCTAGCACCCTCTACCACTATCACAACTGCTAGCACCCTATACCACTATCACAACTGCTAGCACCCTCTACCACTATCACAACTGCTAGCACCCTCTTCCACTAACACAACTGCTAGCACCCTCTACCACCATCACTACCACCCTCTACCACCATCACTGTTACCCTCTACCACCATCACTACCACCCCCTACCACTATCACAACTGCTTCCACTCTACCACCACCACCTTCGTATTTTTCTACAAACTTTTTCTTAAATTATATGTGTTTCTTACATTCTTTACCAAAGGGCTGGCACTAGAAGCTTTCTTTGGAGCCATGGTGACTTATTTAGCAGTTGCAATCACTAAAACGAATGGAATAGTATTATGAAATGTATCGTATGAACTCGTGGGATCATCCTCGCTCACTGATAAACAATGGCACACTGGCTGGGAATGGAGTGTAAGGTGGCTTGGGGCTGTGTGTATGTGTCCCAGACGAATGATTATTTGCAAGTCAAACAATGATTCGTGAGCCAATGTTTTGATGAAAATAAGGTTAAAATTTTCGAAAATTACGACAATCGAGCCTTACGATTATCGAGGGACCACTGTACACTGCTGTATAAATATTTAGAAATATACCCGAAATTTTATAATTGGTGCAAAGGTGACATTAAAACAGTATCAGAGATAGCTGACACAAACTCACTACCATTATAGTATGCTTCTCACTTAGTGACAAATTTGTTTATTAATATGGTCTTAGGAACAGAACTCCATCATTAAGTGAGGAGAGGCTGTGCTCTCTTTTAGCACCACTCAATATACTTAACCTCTGCCAGTTGAGCTTCAGACCAAATGAAAGCAGAAATGTTGTAAACATACAAATCCTACATTTCCTGTATGCAGCACTTGAAAACAATGAATATTCACTAGGCCTCATTACTGAACTTAAGAAAACTTTC